TGCCATTAATTAATTTAACACGATACGACCTAATTCAACCCGGTTCGATTCGTGACCTTGACAAAAATAACATGCTTTTTTTAAAAACACTACAGTCTAAATTAGTCATATTTTGTCGTGTTGTGAAAAATGTAAATTTTATCCGTCCTTGAAGGGAAAATCTGGCTGACCCCGATGTATCAAACTGGTGGTTTGAGAACAAGGAAGGAGAATAAGAATTGAAAACAAGGAAACTGGTGGTGTGTACTAAGTATTAAGCTCTTATTTGTGGTTGTTTGCAAGAGGTTTAGGTTTGATTCCTACTTGATGAAGGTAGCTTATTGAGGATTTCCGAAAGTCTACTGAGATGTTAGATTTTTAAAATGTTTCAGCAAGGAATTCATCAATATTTTCTCGAGGTGGAAATCATTAAACATTTATTGAGAATCTCTTAACACAAACTGTAACCACTGAAAGTAAATGTTAATATACATGTAGTGGAAGTAGATTTTCAAAAGAGAAACCAAAAAGATGAGGAAAATACACTACTATTGATTCCCTTGAGGATTTTTGTTAATAATAGCGTGTGCAAGGAAACATAATACAAAATTTGAATTTTATTTCAAACCACCATAAAATGTATTTTCATAAAGTCGACAAATTAAAAACCTGTCGCTTCTCTACTGCATCTTTTTTTAATTGATTTTTAATTTAATTTAATTTAATTTCTTAGTTTGCAGTTTCTTTCTTTTTGTTATTTTCTAGTTTCCATTAAAAATCTTATTTATTTATTTATCTATTTATCTATTTATTTATTTATCTATGTCTTTCTTTCTTTCTTTCTTTCTTTTTTCATTTCTTCATTTCTTCATTTCTTCATTTATTTCTTCATTTCTTCATTTCTTCATTTCTTCATTTCTTCATTGCTTCATTTATGTCTTTATGTCTTTATTTATTTAAAAAAAATTTATTTAGCTAATATTTTGTGTTAGTGCGTGGGGTGGGGGGTAGCTGGAGTTAAAATAGCTTTACTCAAGGACACATCCCAACAGGATCTCCACCTAAATACCACGCCACGACATTACATTATTTGTAAGCTCAATAAGCTCTCTAACCATTCAGCCATTGAAGACCCCTATTATAGTTTCCTTGTAGCTTTATCGAAAACCTGTCACCTCCCTCCCCCTCCACCTCCCCCTC